CAGGGGCAAGTTGTTACTTGAACGGGACTCGAGGTGGTAGCATGGGCGACATAACTCAATTTATCAGAGATCTCCGGTGCGAGTTCAGAGCGCATTGGAGCACAGGCGGGAGTAAGCTACGAGTCATAGGCTCTCTAACCAGTAAAGTTCTTTCGAGCGTGCGAGCCCTTTGAAAAACGGTCTTTTGCATATGTAGGGACAACATGCGGGAACCACAAAACCGTGGTAAATTTTTTCTAAACGGCCCTTTGAATACCGGAAAAGGGGGTCTCTAGTTCGATCCCTCGTGGTGACAAATTTTTGCATTTCGAGTTGAAGTTCCAAAATTTGTGCAAAATGAAGTCAGCATAAATAATAAGTACCGTATTCATGATTAGGACCGTCACTAACCCCTACAAAAAGAGTTTGACTTGAAAAATGGTGTAAGAGGTGTGACACCAAGCAGCTCCACTGTGGTGTCACAATTTTTCACAAGTTTTTTAATCAAAGCCTTTTTGTAAGGGTTACTGACGGTCCTAATCATGAATACGGTACTTATTATTCATGCTGACTTCATTTTGCACAAATTTTGGAACTTCAACTCGAAATGCAAAAATTTGTCACCACGAGGGATCGAACTAGAGACCCCCTTTTCCGGTATTCAAAGGGCCGTTTAGAAAAAATTAACCACGTTTTGTGGTTCCCGCATGTGCACCTACATCATGCAAAAGACCTTTTCTAAAAAGCTTGGCACGCCCTGGAGGACCTTCCCGGTAAGCTGAGACTGTCTGAGCGTGAACGCTTCGAGCTTTGCGGGAGCTGAAACCACAAATAAAGTTGAACACGGATCTAATGCGCTAAAAATGTGGTTTGAAGGCCAGTTGAGCGCGTCAAATTTCCAGTTTTGCCTAAACACACTCCTCGATAGCTCTGTAAGCAGTAGCGATCGCAGAAAAGGACACACAGCTCTTTCTCTGATAGAGCGTTTTCATGTTGCTACCGTATAGTATAAGGGCTTATATTCCAAATTAATTATTTATAAATGCTCCACCATCTATGTGCATTGTATAAGTAGAGGACTTCCTCATTTATATTATGTGCACGCCGTAGCTGAACAGGGTTAGAGAAATGAGAAATTTCGGAAACCTTTCGAGACGGCATAAGCAATTGACGCAGCAAATTTTTTTCAAAAGAACAGAGCAGTTTAAATCCAAGCATTAACCAAAATCACACAACATTTCTTAGTTTTTCGAGACGCCGAGAACGATGGTTGCTCTGCCGATTACAAAGTTCCCAAAGAGGTCAGAAAACGAAAAAATTAGGGGTAGCATAAGCAATTATGCGCATTGCAGACTTCAAAAAATTTGAAAATGGGAAACGTTTGGGCTTTTCAGGGCGCATCCAAAGCGTGGAAGTCAGTCGTCTTTTTACTGGACGCTCGAATGCTTGCTGTCAAAGATGGGTGGAAGAATGTATGTTGTTTTGACTAATTTTTCTACTTTCGACTAACTCACCGACCAGGCATAAAAAGGATCGATCATGATCAATACCTTCTTGGAGAGCGCTATGCATTCCAGTTCTGAATTGTAATGGCGTCACTCGAATGTTGCTTGGCCTATACAATGTGTTGTGAGGCCAGCCAATGTATATCTAAGCCCTTTATACTTCCAAGTCTAGCACTACCGATTTGCTGAGCCGACCTAGAATTTTAGAAGGTTTGGTTGGCCTGAATGGGACCCGTCTTCTTTGATCAGTCAACCATCCGTATTTCGCTGGAAAAGCTCCTCCATCTGAGACTCCGTTGCAATCATCGGGATAAAGTTTCATTGAGCAGAACTGTAGAAATAAAAACGAATTCGTTCTTTTCAACGCTTCTCAGAATGAGCCTTCTCCGAAGAGGAGTTATGTCAAACGTGCACACATTACAAAAAAACAACAACAGCTTTCCGCTTTTGACTCCAGGATTTCTTAGAAGCATAACGGTAAATTTGCGCACGTCGAATTTATTTTTCAGGCAACCGACTCTAAGTCTGGCACTAGCAAATAAACTGATATCAATATGGAGAACTGAATGCAATAGGTATCGCTGTAGTAAACCGCTCATAAGAGAAGTCTAACACGGGGTTATGGTTGTGTCTCGTATTTGCGGTGTATTAAGTTCGCAAGCGTTGTCGCAGAGAGCAAATCAGTTCAGGGTGGCTACACTGATACTAATAAAGATAGTAGCGAGACCTGTGATTAAGTTGGTCTTGTAGTAGCCCGACTCTATTTCTGGGTATTTACATGAAATGAGGAAAACATTTTTAGCTACAATTCAACCTTCACCTAGGTTCTATATCTCATATTACCCGAGTAAAATATAAACAATTATTAGTAAGATAGCTGGAAAGAAGTCCTCCGACGCGATACAGGCTTCAAGTCTCTTCTCAACTGACTCACGTGGGCCGCAAGCAGTTTTCGTCGAGTACTTCGCGCTTCTCCTAGGAAGCCTTTGGAGTCCAACTTCGATGTTGCCTGGAAGCATCTTCGCTGGCAGGAGCCCCACCGACCAATTTTGCAAAATAAAACATTAGGGTATGAGTCCGTGTCAACAAATTCAGAACTAGGCCCAACTAACGAATCGCCGGCGCCCCAGAACCGGATAATGCGGTCACAGAACCCCGCGTAGACTCGCATATGGAGAGAGGGCAGGCCTAGAGTGTCTTGCTCGAAGAAGCACATGGAGACTTTCGCGCAGGTCCGAAATTGCACTATACAGTCCAATGTGCGATCGAGCACTCGAAGGCACGTACCAAAAGTGGAATTGTCGTGGTTAGAACTAAAGTGGGTATCATTTAACCTGATTTGTTCGCACAGAAAGAGCGACAAACGCGTGTACTCGGCTCAAACCTGGTAAGACCCTCCATTCGTCTTCCTCTAGATCAAAGATCATCTCTTGAACTAAATCTTGGAAACCGTCATCTCGTGGATGCTGCGCTATAGTTCTAAATGATAGTGAACGTACGCATCAGTTATCTAGTCCGTGCATCTAGAAGGATTCCAGGCCCTGCCTGTCACTTCTGTTGCGGTCCCTGCTAATTGTGCGGCTCCGGAATTGCCCACAGTGTCTGAATGTTCAATTTCTATCCACGTGCACAATGCTTTAATATTTCGAAGCGTTATGTTGACGAATCCCCACGTCAATGTTTCAATCTATGCGGCTCAGTTGAAAAAAGACGTTCGTGAAAGGTCAGCTTTGAGAAGGAGCACTATAACCTGTAATACACTGACGCAGTAAAAGAATATATTTCTAACTGCTATCGATCCTGTCGCACTTAACACTGACCTAATGTTCATTTAACAGGATAGTAGCAGTAACAAGACTAAAATTGTAACTACTGAATAGAATGCTATCTTACTCTGCAAAATATCATGGGTCACAGTATTAACCGCCAACTCCAATCGCGAATCAAACAAACTCTCTTATGCCTTAGTACACACAACCGGCTATCATATTATGATCAGGGATCACCACAGCTCGATCTGATATGGTGAGTCACGACTATCCATGGCAAGAGATCACCCCCTCATGAAAGCACACATCCGTGATAGACTATACTTGGTCGTTGTATTCTTCACCTCACGTAATCTGCTCGAACACTACGCAATAACTTTAACTGCCAATTATCACTGTACTCTACATTGCCTCATAGCAAGAAGCGAGCTAACTTGTGACTAGCTTGTGTCTCTGTAGTGTGCTTCATGCATGTCAGATCAGTCTGCTTGTGTGTCGTTGTCACATAGTCATTTCTGCCCTTCTTTCAGTCATCCCGTCCTAGCATAAAACTACTTGAGTGACCGAAGAATGTTTTTCTCATGGATATCAACACAATATCCTTGCCTTAACGAACTCGTCTTGAAAGTTGGTGTTAGCTGAAAAGGCAATCTTGAGAACTATCCATGTTTTTGTAGCCGGACTAGTTGCTGATAAATATTTCTGACTCCTGGATCCTGATAATAAACCCAGACAACAAGTATGCTTATAACGAACTCCCATTCATTCACATGGTGGCTGCTCGCGTGGCAGCTGGAGGTAGTGGAGAGAGGAAGGGAGGCCTGAAGAAGGCAAAGCGAAAAATCTTCTACCGTCTACTTATATTTGTGTTCTTCTACATGTATTAAACATCCATTGTTTGCATACGCGTCACTCTCCTAGGAGGTGTTGGTGTCACCAAAAGGTAGCGTACGGAGCGGCAGGAATAGAAAGCTTGTCGCAGGAAAGGATACGGTCCCGCGCGCCGTTGACGGGGACTAATCTGGTTCATACCATAATTGCAGATGCGCCGAATGGCAACGAATATTGTTCTGTGCCACACTGGAACAACAAACCGCGAATAGCAAGGGAATAGTGGAAGAATATTGTGGAAGATCCAGCAATGTACTAGACCTCAGCACGAAACCTTATGGGTAAAGTTCGTGCTAATTATACACTAATAACCTAAACTTCAAACTGCGTTATTCAGGCAAAACCGAATTCCAAACGCAGGGGTGGGCGGGGGGCGGGCCCAGGGAAATGAAGATCCGTTGCTTGATGCGCCACTAAATCCTGTGAAACTTCAACAACACGCAGCTTACTTCACGAAGAGAGCTACTGGCCAGAAAGCCAACCGGGTTGAAATTACAACGGCAGGAGACAGAATTGCTAGGTGCCAAGATAGAACGATAACAAGAGGTAACAGAGACCTGTCTTAGCGATGAACCTACGGCTTTGCGGGAGCTAAAACGACAAAGTCAAGTTCAGAGCACGAGATCTGTTCGCATCTTGAAACGCATACGCTCTGCATGAATTTCAAAACCTTTAGTCAAAAAAACTTTTGCTGATCTGAATCATGTACGGTCATTGTACTTAGAAATGTTGATATGACATGCAGTCTTGTTTCCCTACATCACAACATTAGGCTGCGACGAAAACAAGCAGTCTCTATAAAAATGAAAACTAAATACAGATAAGATAATTCTTGTGGCTATTACTTGACTTACAGATGGTTGACTTAGTGGTAAGGACTGTAGGACGAATGAAGCAAACCAGAGTGGCAGTTATAGCAATGAGCTGCCCATCGAAAGTCATCGTTCCTATGGGCATCTACACTTCTGATTACCTGAGGTAACATCTATTTCATTGAGATTCATTGTTGCAATATTCAGTTAGTATTCAAAGTTGTTACATCATGACCAAATCGGCTATCAGGTTGATCCGGCCAGCGATTTATTTCGGCTGACGGCTTTTCTAAATCTCTCGAATACTTAAAGGAATCTTGCGCGGAAAATTCTTGCGCGCTTTCCTAACATGAATATGTCAGTTGTGATCACTGGAATTAGCACACAAAGTTTCACGCATGAAGATTCGGTTTCTTAAGAGAAACAAACGTACAAAAACTAAACGTTATGGACCATCGAAGGACCAGGAGGCAGAGCCAGGCGAGGCATGGAAAGAAGACGGCGTTTGGCCGGCTACGTACCAGGTGACGCAATGAGAGAATCTGGTTAAAGCGCGCGATTTCGGAGATTGAAGACAAATCGATCGATGGATTAGGATGGAGTAGAAGTGTAAGATGTGAGTACGAAGCAGAAGGCCAGAAAGAGCTTCTAGCGTTTGCACTCCAAGAACCAGGTTGGAGCATCCCCGTCGCCAGCTTTCGTGAAAGACGTCACGGGCAATTCGAACGCGTAGCAGCCTTTTCGAGTTCCCGAATTTCTAATCCAAACGAAAGCAATACTTCAGTTCTTTTCACTCTCATCATGGATAATGAGTCTCAAACCAGTGATATATGGCTGAACTAGAATCATGATTTTTCCGCGCAAGATTCCTTTAACCTATTCGACGTCAATTGAAAGCTCACGATTTTCTGCTTATTTTGACATGTGAGGCTCAATATTTGCTTCAATATAAAGTACACAAATGAACGAAAGACAGCTTCGCCGGGACTACTCAGTTGAAATTTCTCGACCAACACTTTTTGCAGTAAAATATTTACTTCTGGAGCCGGATTGAATGCTTTAATTACGTCAAAAGAAGCTTCAGGTTCCGATTCTGAGCTTACCATGCACCCCATGTACTCGCGGCAGTACTCGCGTGGAATCTGTATAGTGAAGCAAAGATATAAAAAAAGATTCTAGAAGAAATTGTAAACTTTCATATGAGATCGAACGCTTCAAACATAATTAACAAAATAAAGCCACTAGCCTAAAGAAACTTTTGCTAATTGAATTAATCTGATTATGATTAACAATTATGCCTTCCAGAAGCCAATCGCTTTCGTTCAAGTTTGCTAACGACAAGATCGCTACATCTCAAGCATACAGACTCGCTAAAAAGCTTCTAGATGTGAGTAGAATGCTTGTTACGGGGAATTTGAGAAGTTTCTTGTTATAGGTGCATAATATGAATGCATAGAAAAGTCAATCACGAGTCATTTGATAGATGGCAGTCTGATTCTCGAACAAAATTCAGGCACTGCTTACCTTTCACTGTCCCACTCAGCGAAAATTGAGCAGAACTTTTATCGAGTTTTTTCCTCCTTGACTGCGTGCTTGGATAGGATTACCTCTGGGTAAATCGACCCATGGGAGACGAATAGCACACTTGTTTGGCGGAAAACGTCCGCCCCCGCGCCACGAGTACCGGCGCCAAAAAGCGCCAGAACGCTCTAGTGTGATAGTGCCAGCGCCTATAGCGCGAGATTTCATTTTCCACTGGATGAAGGTCCCATGTGCTATCAAATCGTTAGTCAAAGGCAAATCTCGATTAAAACGTTGTACAGTTTTGAGAAATGGCGTAGTAAAACGAAAATACTGCCAAAATTTTAATTCAAATGGAATCAATTAAAGAGCATCGTTCAGGCAGAGATTACCGAAGAAAAAAGGGTAGCCGTGTTCTCAGATGGTCAAAGTTCAACATGTGACATACCTGGAACTGGAGATAAGGATGAACGCAGCGTTGCTGACAAGGTAGATTAGGCGCCATCTTTCCATTATTCCTAGTCTTTTTTGTGAAGGTTCGGGTTCTAACATAAGCTCTCATGTTTTTCCAATTTTTTTTGCAACCCTCCTGGCTAGAAAACGTATATTTTTGGGACAATTTTAATATGTTGCTGTAATTCCAAAGGAGTCGGTTTATTTTTCGCTGTTTAATGGGAGCTTGCGGAAAACAAACAATACAGGGTGGCTACTAGATATTGGCGCATGGTTAATTGACCATATTTCTGAAAAGAGAATCTATTAAACCTTCAGAGGTTCATCTTTATATACAGTAAAACATAACAATTCATTAGTAGAGAAGACTGGAAAGAAGTCCTCCGACGGCGATACAGGCTTCAAGTCTCTTCTCAACTGACATCACAGTGGGCCGCAAGCAGTTTTCGTCGAGTTACTTCAGCGCTTCCTCCTAGGAAGCCTTCTGGAAGTCCAAACTTCGATGTTGCCTGGAAGGCATCTTCTGCTGCAGGAGGCCCCACACCGCAAAATCCATTGGGTTCTATCGGGTAAATTAGATGGCCAAACATCCGGTGGCCAGTAACCTGGATAATGGCGGTCACAGAACACCAGCGTAGACTCGGCATGGGGAGGCGCCTAGTCTTGCTGAAGAAGGCACTGACATTTTCTGCAGGTCGAAACAGTCCATGGAAAGAGCACACCACGTAAAATTATTTCCTGGTAGATCTGAGCGTTAATTTTAACCGATTTGTCCACAAAGACAAACGGTGTCTCGGTGTCAAAAGTAATTCCTGCCTAAATCATGACAGATTTTGGAAATCGGCTCCTTGTGTGCGCACGACGTCGAGCAGCCGTCGAGATGCCTGCTAGCCGGATCCAGCAATTGCCTGTCCTTTTGCAAATTGTGCGCCAATCCCAGTGTGATGATCTTCTCACGTCACGTTGACGTCACTTACTTGCGGCCCACGGTGATGTCAGTTGAGAAGAGACTTTAAGCCTGTATCACTGCCGAGGGAGGCCATTCCGAGCAACTTCTTCACTGATGCATGGATATGTTTTACTGTATATGAAAATAAACTTCTGAATATGTGATACTTTCTCTTTGCAAAAATATGGTCAATAAACGGTAATTTGGACACCATTGTGATACTCACTTTCTTTTCAGTTGATTCTGTAAGTACGTCCACCTGCTTAATTATTGACCAGAGACTGGTGGGTCCCAGTGACAGATATAAGTGTACAGTCTTCATTGTAGTTCAGTCAGTCTTCTAAAAAATATTAGCTACGCCCGTCTTCGAAGGGACAACAACTGGCCGACGGACAAACGACTTCGAGGACCGAGGCCCCTCGCCGGGATCCAGAAGACACTCACTTCAAGACTTGCTGCAGATGAGGCCGCCACAGACAGAAGCTCCTCTCGGCCTGCTCCATAAGATGGCCACGCATACAGTCGCGTCCGCACAAGAGACCGATTCGACCGGAGTCTCAGGATATCGAGAAGTTCTCCTACACGCAATCAAGATGACTGCTTCGAGCTATGATTCAATCGGCACAAGGACGCGCTTCATGGTCGACTGTCAAGCGATGGACAAGTGTTGAATGACACGCTGCTCGTGCTCTGCGCTGGACGCTACGAAGTCAACAGCTCGCTTTGCCGTCGTCACATGCCCCGAAAGAGCCACGGAGAGCTGAACTAGACGGATACGCTTGCACCTGGAGCACTATTTCGCGTAGCGAAGAAAGCCTTATTCGTCGCCGTTTTGAAATGTTCGGATGAAGCTTCTCGCCCAACGGAGTACATCGACAACGTTCGTCAATTTCTTCAAGTGCTCGCGCTCTGGAGCCCACTTCAAGGACCATCCAGACAGGAAACCGCTACGAGGCCTGGCCCTGTGGTGCTCGCTTCCCACCCCAGAGTAGCCTCGTCCTACTGAGCGACCGACAGTTTTCGCAGCGAAAGACGAGCACACTTGCTCGACGCTGTGGCTAAGGAATTCCACGCCTGAGATCGGTCAAGGCATGACTCCAGAATCGGTCTAAGCAGTGCAACCTACCGGAGATCCGCAACCGTACAAAGGAGGAAAAGCTCGCCTCCTCCCCCAATCAGCCTCGACTTCCGCCTCATCAACCGTTCCGATCTGCAGCAGCCAGCATTGGCAGAAGATTGCCTCACAGAACTCGCAACGACACCCAGGCCGCTCAGGAATCAAGACTGCGCCACCGACGGTCGCACAACAGCAGTTCATCCCGCGCACGCTGTGACATACGAAGCCATCGGCCGCACTGAGATGTCCAAAAAGTACCTGGAAGTTCATCATCAATGGACATCCCACCGCTCCGTTGACAGCCGGCCGCACGTCACATCATTTCTCGCCCAACCTGGATGCAACTCGGAAAGTCCCGCTCTAGAGAAGACTTCCGCACGTCTTCGAAAGGACGCCAACGGTCTAACCACTACCGATTCACCAGGAAATTCGACCTGTTTGTGGTGGTAGATTGACAACCAAGAAAGGCTCATCCTGGACAATGCGTTCCTGCTCGTCTTAGGCGACAAACGACCTTCTCGCCATCACATGGATCTGAACAAATTCAGCGATATTTCAACTCCATTCTTGAATAATTCAATAGTCAAAGGTGCAGACGCCGTGACTACGACGCAATCCAAGACCAGACGTGACTCGCCAACTGAAGCACCACCTTCATGGACGTCTCAAGCCATAACTTTGGCATGCTGTAGCCAAGGCCAAGGCGACGACTCTACCCTCAACACCGCATGCTCGCCCGGTTTTCATCAGAAGAGACGGTCCCTACGCCTCTATCCCTCTCCTCGACGCCGAGATCGACCGTCTCCGGACATCATGAACGTCATCCCGCTTGTCGACAATTATCGCAATGGGCCGCGCAATCGTCGTTGTGAAGAGTGCCAATGACCCATCCTGACTTGCGCCGACCTTTTCGAGGGACCAACGTAGCGCAATTTGCTGTTGCAACCGACACTCATTTGCCACCGCAGAGACGTCTTCACTAACTCAATGCGCGAACCGTCTTCTCTCAAGCATGACTTCGCCGACGGCCTACCTACAGGTCGAAGTCGATGGACGAACTCCAAAGATGCTCCTTGACATCAACACGCATCGAGACTCTACCGCTATCAGATCGCTTGCCGGTTTGGTGTCAAACAGCGCCTGGCTCTCCCAGCAGATCATCGACTCCATGATCTCTGGACCTCAACGGTGCTTGCTCGCCTACCTTCGGAACGACGTCCATACGTCGAGCGGCCGCACACTCTCCGAGCACAACGCAACATGTGAAGCCCTTTTCCTAGGATATCGCCTTAAACGGCTTCCGGCGGTCCGCTATCGCACAAGTGCACTGCGTGAGACCCATTGCACCAACCTTGCGAAACGGTCATCACCGCATGCTGGACGATGCCGACCCGATCCCAACAATGATCGAGCCTATCACTCAGATGCCAAAACCAAAGATAGCGCCCAGGTCGGTCATTCGCTCGTCTATTAACTAACATACGAATCGTTCGTCTCAGACGATGAGCCAGCTTCGTTGCATCGCTCGACGCCACACTCAAGAAAGGATGTTCGTCAACTGGAATCCCGAATGCGACGTCCGCTTTCGAACCGCCAAGGAAGTGCTCGCTTCGGACCTGCTCCTGACTCATTACAAACACGAATCTTGACAATCGTCATCGCGGCCGACGCTTCTCAGTACTATGGCAACAGGAGCATAATCTAATCTCTTCATGATACCCAGGACGAAAGCTGATCATACCACGTAGCCCTTCTCACTCCGCAAGAAGAATCATGGTCAAATAGAGAAGGATCTCGCACTCATTCTACCCGTCGCAAGTTCAACCGCTATATTTTTACGGACCGCCACTTCCCTTCTCACAGACCACCAACCACTCTTGCTATGATTCGGATCGAAGAAACGAGTTCCCTGCTACTCGCGAATCGCCTTCAACGCTGTAGACTTACGTGCTCGCCTACGACACTCACATACTCGAGTTACCCGAGCACCACGAACTTGGAAGGCGACGCAGCTCTCTCGGACTTCATCTCCGTCAAATCGCCTCCCGAGGAAGTACATATTAATCGCCATTAAATCGCCAGGGACGTCCACCGCCATCTTCGTAAGCTAATGTAGGCGTCTACACCGGTCACTGCCAACCATATGTAGCACCGTGCCACCGCCGAGGACGATTGCCTACGTCAAGTCCTCAGACCGGACGTTCGTTCACAGCAACCTGCCGAATAAGCCATCACCGTACCCGTGCCAGTTACGCCCACCTGCGAACGACCTTCTCGACAGACGCAGGGATTGCACTACTCTTTGAGCGCCGAATCATCAATCCTCCTTCGCACTCCAGCCAGACCGTTATTGAAGGGCACTCGACAAGGACCATCCGGGATGAATCGGAATGAACGCCCATTGCTCCGGAGCTACCGTATTCTGGACGAAGATAAACGACGATTTGGAGAAGCTAGTTCGCACTGCGCCAACTGTCAAGAAGCCTGCCAACGCGCCCATCAAAAATACGCTTTGTTCATTGTCCCCTGCCCAGATGCCGCATGGAGCCGGCATCCATACGATTTCGCCGCTCCAATGGACGTGAATTTCCCTATTCGGCGTCGACGACCAGTCAAAACACACAGCCTTCTCCATCATGCCTGAAGTATTCCAATGACTTCCACCATGCACCCACTCCGCCACACACCCACACAAGGGAATCTCCGAAAAACCTTCGCACAATTCGACTCCAAAGATCACGTCCCAACACACACGCGAACTCAGACATCACACCCTCCGAGGCGGTTCCGCCAAATTTCTGGCAGAATAATCAGGAACATCGACACGTCGTCAACCCGCCGTCTTCATCTCAGTCAAATGAGCAAGTGAACGCTTCGTCGCACACCTTCAGCGCTCACACAACAACACAACCGGTTACCAACCCGTGGACGCCTACAGACATTCCTCCTTCCCCTAACAAGGAACACCGTCATGCAACGCGCATCGACCCGATAGACATTCCTCCCCAGAAAACTCATCGTTCCGACGCGCCACCAACCAGCACCACCTGCCTGCAACAGAAAACGCCTAGTCATCAACAAAACCGCCAGAAGCTAGGCCAGACCCGCATGAAAGCAGTCAACCGACGACACGGCGGCCAACCCAAGAAGTTGAGTCCAAATACCTCGTTATCTGCTCAGTCGACTCCGCCCGGACAAACTCAGATGGTCTCCTGGAACGCATTCACTACGACTTCGAAACGCCTACGACGTCCTAGTATCATAGAATCCATCTGAAGCGCCCCCGCCAATCAACTGACGCCCACGTGCTCGCCGGAACATGCAGCAATACCAAGGACGCCTCGATATGCGTTCAACTCCCACACCAAGTATCACCTTTCAAGGACCGACTCGCCACCGTTGTCTCCGATGGCATCACCTCCTACGACACCACGACCTACACCGGCAATGACACGACACTACACCCTTGGAGCCTCCGACCCCGCACCCCACGAAACGATGCGAGCTCGCACTCTGACCCTCCTGATTACCTCAGATATGACCCGCCCAAATCGTACCAGAGCCGTCCCCATACTTAGGGGAGAGTGTTACTCCCATTGATCTCACTTTCTTCTTCAGTTATCTGTAAGTACCACCCTCTTAGATTTTGACTCAGAAGATCTGGCGCCATACGGATATAATTAAACATTTCATTGTATTTTCAGTTCAATGTCTCTAATAAATATTCACTTACTGCCGTCTTCCTGAAAGCGACACAACATACAGCATCACCGAATGGTCTTGCCTATACAAATGCGTTGTGCCAGCCAAGTATACTCAGCGCATTATACTTCCAAGTTCCACTCACCTCGATGCTGACCCGCGACCTAAATTTTGGTTGCCTGAAATGGACCAAGTCCATTTAGCAGCCAGCCCACTCCCACTCGCATGAAAAGCGCCTCCATTGTATCCGTTGCAATCATCGGAAAAGATCATAAAGCAGAACTGATAGAAATGAAAACGAATATCGCTTCTTTCAACCGGCTTCTCACAATGAGGCCTTCTCCGAAGCGAGTTATGTCAAAACGTTCACACATCAAAACAAACACCAAACACTTTCCCCGCTTTTCTTCAGGATTTCTAGTAGCATAGTAAAGATAGTCATCTGTGACTTAGAAAACGCTTATCAAGCCGTTCATATGGCCCGCTAACGAATGGGACTGCACTTGAAACGCATACACGCTCTGCATGAATTTCAAAACCTTTAGTCAAAAAAACTTGCGACCTGAATCATGTACGTCATGTACTTAAGAAATCTTGAAATATGACATTCCATCTTGTTTCCCTACATCACAACATTAAGGCGCGACGAAAAACAAGCAAGTCCTATAAAAACGAGAAACAAATACAGATAAGATAATTCTTGTGCTAACATTCACATTGCACTTACCCACATGGTAACTTAGCTGTAAGGACGGTAGACGAATATAGCAAACGAGAAGTGGCAGTTATAGCAATGAAGCTGCCATCGAAAAGTCATCGTTCCTATGCATCTACACTCTGATTACCATAAGTACACATCTATTCATTGAGATTACCATTGTTGCAATATTCAGTTATATTCAAAGTTGTTACATCATGACCAAATCCTTATCAGGTTGATCCGGCAGCGAATTTATTTCGGCTGCACGCTTTTATCTAACTCGCGAATACTGTAGAATGGAATCTCGCGGATAATTCTTGCGCGCTTCCTAACCATTGAATACGTCAATTTGTGATCACTGGCAATTGCACACAAAAGTTCACGCATGAAGATCGGTTCTAAGAGAAAACAAAAACGTAACAAAAACTAAACCTTATGACCCATCGAAAGACGCAGGAGGCAGAGCCAGGCCACAGAAGGCAATGAAAAAGACGGCTTTGGCCGGCTAACTACGCAGTACGCAAAGAGAGAATCTGGTTAAAAGCGCGCGATTTCGCAGATTGAAGAACAAATCGATCGATGAATAGGATGGAGTAGAATGTAACGATGACATCAAGAACAGAAGCAAAAAGATTTAGAAATTATTCATACATATTGTAGATGCGCCGAAATGGCACGAATATTGTTATGGTGCCCACTGGAAAACCCGCGAATAGAACGAATGTGGAAGATATTGCGGAGGATCCCAGCAATGTACTAGACACTAAGCACGGGAAGGACATTATGGTAAGGTTGCGTGCTAATTATACACTAATAACTCTAAACTTCAACTGCCGTTATTCAGGCAAAACCGAATTCCGACGAGGCCAGGGAAATGGAAGATCGTTTGCTTGATGCGCTCACAAATCCTGTGGAACTCAAGCACACTACAGCTTCTCACGAAGAGACTGCAGAAACCGAAAGCGGTGAAACTTCAACGGCAGGAGACAGAATTGCTGGTCCAGATAGAACGATAACAGAGGTAAGCAGAGACTGTCTGAGCGTGAACGCTTCGAGCTTTGCGGGAGCTAAAACCACAAATAAAGTTCAACACGGATCTATTGCGCCAAAAATGTGGATTTGAATGCCAGTTGAGCGCGTCGAATTTCCAGTTTTGCCTGAATACACTCCTCGATAGCTCTGTAAGCAGTAGCGATCGCAGAAAAGGACACACAGCTCTTTCTCTGATAGAGCGTTTTCATGTTGCTACCGTATAGTATAAGGGCTGATATTCCAAATTAATTATTTATAAATGCTCCACCATCTATGTGCATTGTATAAGTAGAGGACTTCCTCATTTATATTATGTGCACGCCGTAGCTGAATAGCGTTAGAGAAATGAGAAATTCTGGAAAGCTTTCGAGACGGCATAAGCAATTGACGCAACCAATTTTCTTCAAAAGAACAGAGCAATTTAAATCCAAGCATTAACCAAAATCACACAACATTTCTTAGTTTTTCGAGACGCCGAGAACGATGGTTGCTCTGCCGATTACAAAGTTCCCAAAGAGGTCAGAAAACGAAAAAATTAGGGGTAGCATAAGCAATTATGCGCACTGCAGACTTCAAAAAATTTGAAAATGGGAAACGTTTGAGTTTTTTAGGGCGCATCCAAAGTGTGGAAGTCAATCGTCTTTTTACTGGACGCTCGAATGCTTGCTATCAAAGATGGGTGGAAGAATGTATGTTGTTTTGACTAATTTTTCTAATTTCGACTAACTCACCGACCAGGCATAAAAAGGATCGATCATGATCAATACCTTCTTGGACAGCGCTACGCGTTCCAGTCCTGTTTTGAATTGTAATGGCATCACTCGAATGGTGCTTGGCCTATACAATGTGTTGTGAGGGCAGCCAATGTATATCTCAGCCCATTATACTTCCAAGTCTAGCACTATCGATTTGCTGACCCGACCTAGAATTTTTTGGTAGGCCTGAATGGGACCAGTCTCATTTAGTCAGTCAACCATGCGTATTTCGCATGAAAAGCGCCTCCATTTGAGACGCCGTTGCAATCATCGGGATAAAGATTCATAAAGCAGAACTGTAGAAATATGTCCACCATTGGGAACAGGCGGTCCATCCGTACATATCACGTCAACCAGAAACCCGGAGGGCCCGAAAGCAGTGAACTGCCACAGACGAAAGGTCACGGCTTCGAGAGAACCAGAAACCCGGAGGAAGCTCGAAAGCAGTGACCTCCTCAGGAGCGGAAAGGGTCACCGGTTTCGAGATTTAACGTGGAATAGTGACCGCAGATGTTGTAACTCCACATTGGAAAAGTGGTCATCCTACATATCACGTCATACCAGAAATCCCGAGGAGGCCCGAAAGCAGTGACACCTGCCACAGGACGAAAGGATGCAACCGCTTCGAGCGATACCAGAAACAAGAGGAGCTCGAAGCAGTGGAACCTGCCTCAGGAGAAAGGGTCACCCGGTTTGAGAGAACGGTGGATAGTTGACCGCCGATGTGTACCCCACCAAATGGGAACATAGCGGTCCATACCGGTAACATTTCACGTCACCAAACCCGGAGGAGGCCCGAAACAGTGAACCTTCACAGGACGAAAGAGTCACGGTTCGAGAGAATCAGAACACTCCGAGGAGCCCGAAAAGCAGTGAACCTCCTCAAGGACGAACGGGTCACCGGTTTTGAGAGAACCAGAAAAACACGGAGAGCTCGAAAGCAGTGAACCTCCTCAGGACGAAGGGTCGCCGGTTTCGATGAGAAAGGATAGTGACGCGTATTGTAACTCCACCATGGCACAGGCGGTCCCATCCGTAACATATCACGTCAACACAAAAACCCGGAGAGCCGAAAGCAGTGAACCTTTCACACTGGACGAAAGAGTCACCGTTCGAGAGAACCAAAACATGAACGGAGGAGCTCCGAACGCAGTGAAACGTCCTCAGGGACGAAAGGGTCACCGGTTTCGAGAGAACGGTGGATAGTGACGCGATGTTGTAACTCACCATTGGGACAGGTGGTCGCATCCGCTACATATCACTGTCAACTTAGAAACCGCAGGAGCCTGAATAGCAGTGAAGCGCTACACAGGACGAAAGGGTCACTGGTTCGAAGTACGGTGGAGAGTGATCGCGATGTTGTAACTCACAGGAAACAAGGCGGTCCATCGTACTATCACGTCAACCACCCGAGGAGTTCCCGAAGCAGTGAACCTTCACAAGGACGAAGAGATCACGGTTTCGAGGAACCAGAACAGCGGAGAGCCCGGAAGGCAGTGAACCTCTTCAGGCACGGAAAGGGTCACCGTTTCGAGAGAAGGTGGACATTGACCGCGATGTTGTAACTCCATCCAATTGAACCAGCGCCATCCGTAACATTTCACGTCAACCAAGACACCCGAGGAGCCCGAAAGAGTGAACCTTCACGAGGACGAAAGAGTCAGGTTTTGAGAAAGAACCAAGAAACAGGAGAAGCCGCGAAAGCAGTGAAGCGTCCTCAGGACGAAAGGGTACTGTTTCGAGAGCACAGCAACACGAGGGCCTGAAAGCAGTGAAGCTCCTCAGGACGCAAAGGACACCGGTTTTTGAGAGAACCAGAATTACGGAGGAGGCCCGAACAGCAGTGAAGCCTTCTCAAGTGACGAAAGAGTCACCGGTTTCGAAGAGAACGTTGGAGATGACCGCGATGTTGTATATCCACCAATGGAACAGGCGGTTCATCGTCATATCACGTCAAACCCAAAACCGGAGGACCCGACAGCATGAACCTTCACAGGACGAAAGAGTCCCCGGTTCGAGAGAACCCAGACACGGAGGAGCCCGAAAGCAGTGAAGCTCCTCAAGACGAAAGAGTCACCGTTTCGAGAGAACGCAGAACCCGGAGGAAGCCGCGAAGCAGTGAACCTCCTCAGACCAAAGGGTCACCGGTTTCGAGAGCACCAGAAACAGCGAGGAGCCCGAAAGCAGGTGAACTTCAGCAGGGCGAAAGAGTCACGCGGTTTGAGAGACCCCAGAAACCCGGAGGAGCCCGAAAGCAGTGAACCCTTCACAGGAACGAAAGAGTCAGCCGGTTCGAGAGAACGCAGAAACACGGAGGAAGCGCGAAAGCAGTGAACCTCCTCAGAACGAAAGGGTCACCGGTTTCGAGAGAACCATGAAACACGGAGGAGCCGGCGAAAGGCAGTGAACCTTCCACAGGCGAAAGAGTCAGGTTTCGAGAGAACCAAGAAACCCGAGGAGCCCGAAGAGTGAACTTCACAGGACGAAAAGGGTTACGCGGTTTCGAGAGAACCAGACCAACGGAGAGCCGCCACAGTGAACCTCCCTCAGTAACGAAAGGGTCCCGTTCCGGTTTCGAAGAACGCAGAAACCCGAAGGAGCCGCGAAAGCAGTGGAACTTCACAGGACGAAAATAGTCACCGGTTTCGAGAGACACCCAGAAACTCACGGAGGAGCCGAAAGCAGTGACGCTCCTCAGGAGAAAGAGTCACCGGTTTTGAGAGCACAGAAACACGGAGGAGCCCGAAGCAGTGAACGCTCCTCAGAACGACAGGGTCACCGGTTTTCGAGAGAACCAGAAACCGGAGGAGCCGAAACAAGTGAACGGCTTCCAGGAACGAAAAGTCACCGGTTGTAAGAGAGACCAGAACCGGAGGAGCCCGAAAGCAGTGAACCTCCTCAGGACTGAATAGGGCACCGGTTTCGAGAGAACCAAAACAGCGGAGAAAACCCGAAAGCAGTGAACTCTCAGAACGAAAGTGTTCCACCGGTTTCCGAGAGAACGCAGAAACACGGAGGGCCCGAAAAGCAGTGAACGCATTTCACAGGATAAAAGTCACTCGTTTCGAGAAGAACAACCCCGGAGGAAGCCCGAAAGTCAGTGAACGCTCCTCAGGACGAGAAGAGTCCGGTTTCGACGAACCAGAAACACGGAGAGGCCCCGAAGCAGTGACCTCCTGCAGGACGAAAGGGTCCTCGTTTCGAAGCCGCAGAAACACGGAGGAGCCCGAAAGCAGTGAAACCTTCCTCGACGAAAGGATCACCGGTTTTGAGAGAACGGCCGAAACACGGAGGAGCCCAAAGCACGTGAACTTCTCAGGACGAAAGAGTTCACCGAGTTTCGAGAGAACGTTGAGAGTGACCGCGAATGTTGTAACTTCACCAAATGGGACAGGCGGTCGCATGCCGTACATATCACTCAACCAAAAACCCGGAGGAGCCGAAAGCAGTGAACCTTCACGGACGAAAGGAGTCACGGTTTCGAAGAGAAGCAGAAACACGGAGAGCCCGAACGCAGTAAACGCTCCTCAGGACGAAAGGGTCACCGGTTTCGAGAACCGATAACAACGGAGGGCCTGAAGTCAGTGAACTCCTACAGGAACGAGAAAGGATCACCGTTCGAGAGAACACGAGAAACGTAGGAGCAGCCTGGGGAAGCAGTGACTTCTCTCAAACGACAAGGGTCACGGGTTTCGAGAGACAGAAACACGGAGGAGCCCGAAAGGCAGTAACGCAAACTCTCAGGACGAAAAGAGTCAGCGGTTCGAGAGAACAGAAACAGGAGGAGCCTGAAAGCAGTGAACCTCCTCAGAACGAAAGGTCACCGGTCGAGAGAACAAGAAACTACGGGAGGGCCTCGAAAGCAGTGAACTTCCAGGAGAAGAGTCATCCGAGTTTCGAGAGAACCAGAAACCTCGGAGAGCCCGAAAGCCAGTTGAACCTCCTGCAGGACGAAAGAAGTCACCGGTTTCGAGAGAACCAGAACAGGAGACCCCGAAAGCAGTGAACCTCCTCAGGACGAAAGGGTCATGGTTTCGAGGAACCCAGAACATGGAGGAGCCCGAAGTCAGTGCACTCCTCAGGACGAAAGGATACCCGGTTTTGAGAGGAACCCGACAAAAACACGGAGGACCCGAAAAGCAGTGAACCTTCTCAGGACGAAAGAGTCACCGGTTTCGAGAGAACGTTGGAGAGTGACCGCGATGTTGTAACTCACGCACTGGGAACAGGCGTCCATCCGTACATATCACGTCAACCAAAAACCCGGATAGGAGCCCGAAAGCAGTGAACCTCACAGGACGAAAGGTCCACGGTTTCGAGAGAACCACGCAACAGGAAGCAGCCGAAGCAGTGAACTTCCTCAAGGAACGAAAGGCGTCACCGTTTCGAGAGAAGCAGAAACACGGAAGGAGCCGAAAGAGTAAACTCCTCAGGACGAAGGGTTCACCTGGTTTCGAGAGAACCAGAACACAGAGGAGCTGAAAGCAGTGCTACTCCTCAGGACGAAAGGATACCGGTTTTGAGAGACCAAAACACGGAGGAAGCCCGAAGAGCAGTGACCTTCTCAGGACGAAGAGTACCGGTTTTCGAAGAACGTGGAGAGTCAGGCGCTGTTGTAACTCACCAGTTGAAACAGGCGGTCATCCGTCATATCACGTCCGCAAAACGGAGAGCCCGAAAGCAGTGAACTTCCAGGACGAAAGAGTCACCGGTTCGAGAGACCAGAAACACGAGGAGCCCGAAAAGCGAGTGAACCTCCTCAGGACGAACAGGTCACCGGTTCGAGAGAACCAGAAACCCGGAGGAGCCCGAAAGCAGTGAACCTTCACAGGACGAAAAGAGTCACGAGTTTCGAGAGAAACCAGAAACGTGAGAGACCGAACGCAGTGAACCTCTCAGGAGCGAAAGTCACCGTCTTCGAAGAGAACGTTGGAAGAGTGACGCGCGAGTTGTAACTCACGCAATGGAACAGGCGTCCATCCGTATGCATATCACGTCAACTCAAAAAACCCGGAGGAGCCCGGAAGCAGTGAACCTTCACAGGACGAAAAGAGTCACGCGGTTTCGAGAGAACCAGAACCAGCGAGGAGCCCGAAAGCAGTGCAACTCCTTCAGGACGAAAGGGTCACCGGTTCGATGAGAACACAGAACGCTCGAGAGCCCGAAAGCAGTGAACGCTTCACAGGAGAAAGAGTCACCGGTTTCGAGAGACCAGAAAACCGGAGGAGCCGAAGCAGTGAACCTTCACAGGACGATAAAGAGTCTACGGTTCGAGAGAACCAGAAAGCGGAGAAGCCCGAAACAGTGAACTCCTCAGAACGAAAGGTCACGCGGTTTGCGAGAGAACCAGAAACCCGGAGACGCGCGAAAGCTAGTGAACGCTCTTCAGACGAAAGAGTCCCTGGTTTGCGAGGAACCAGAAACACGGAGGGCCCGAAGACGTGAACCCCTCAGGACGAAAGGGCAGCCGTTTCGAGAGAATCCAGAAACAGCGGAGGAAGCCCGCGAGCAGTGAACCTCCTCAGGAACGATAAGGATACCGGTTTTTGCGAAGAACCAGAACACGAGAGCCCGAAAGGCAGTGAACCTTCCTCAGGACGAAAGAGTCACCGGTTTCGCGAGAACGTTGGAGAGTGACCGCGATGTTGTAACTCCACATGGGAACAGCGGTCCATGCCGTACATATCACGTCAAACCAAAAACCGGAGGAGCCTGAAGCGCCGTGAACGCTTCACAGGACGAAAGAGTCACCGGTTTCGAGAGACCGAAACACGGAGCAGACCCGAAGCAGTGAACCCCTCAGAACGAAAGGTCACCGGTTTCGAGAGACCAGAACACGGAGGGAGCCGCGAAAGCAGTGACTTCACAGCCGAAAGGTTACGCCGGGCTTCGAGAGAACCAGAAAACGGAGGAGCCCGAAACGCCTTGACCTGTCACAGACAAAGGTCACCGTTTCGAGAGAACAGACAGAAGCACGGAGGAGCTCGAAGGCAGTTGAACGCTCCTCAGGACGAAGGGTCACCGGTTTTGAGAGAACGGTGTAGTGACCGCGATGTTGTAACTCCACCATGTGGGAAACGGGTGGTCCAGTTCGTACATATCAGTCAACCAAAAACCCGGAGGAGCCCCAAGCATATGAACTTCAACGCAGGAACAGAGTTTGCCTGTTTAGAATAGAACAAACGGAGATAATTAACCCGCGATACGGTAACTCCACCACTAGGAATGGTGATCGATGAGTCACTCAGACCAGATGCTGTAAGATCAAGGCTTAGTTTTCACATATTCCATTCGGAGTTTTGGCAGGGGAAATAGAACATCGACAAAGGCTGTCTTTCTCTTTGTTTGTTAAGGTGAGGGTTTGTCGCAATGGGGTTATGTCATGAATACGTGAATTTTTTCCATTTCTACTGCATCTAATGCACGTACAGTATGACAGTAAACAATCGCGGGAAAGGCCGGGTCATTTTTTGACACGAGTAGCGCATGGGCCAAATGTACGAAGCAACAAATCAGCTTGCATAATGGGATAAATTTGTTAATCTGCAATACGGGATACGGAAAACATGTCTCTAAAGGAAAGGTCATCTACATTGCCATGTCTCATGACCAGCAAGTCCATCTCCCATATATTTCCCCGAAATTAAGCAGCGAAATCGGCGACATGGCGTTTAGCCGGCGCCTGAGAATCACGCCAGATTTTATTTGACATACCCCCCGGTTGCCAGTTTGTTGGTTGTGGGGAGACTGCTAGAGGAAGACGAAGGCTTATATCGAGCTTTATTATCTCGTCAAAAATGGAGTCACAAAGGAGATCTCACTACTTCAGGCTGTTCCCCTTGCTTTTTATATAGCGTTGTCGCCTACACCTCGACTTCCTTTCGACACGACTAATTTCTCGACCATCTGCGTGAAACTCTTAATGTACTTCGCTTACTTTAGAGCTTTCCATGATTGCACTGATGAACAATCCCTTGTAAATTCGAGATACGGCGCCATTCGTGAATGTGTTGCTTCAGTCAATAATCATTTATGTGAAAGTAGTTAACGGCCGCTGTTCATATCGGCGTTAGTAAAGACTGGCACAAAGGCCAGAATGAATTATGCTCTCTCAGACACTTCAACAAAAGGACACATCCGTGTTACTGTGGATCAATTGCAATCTCAGATTATTTAAGAATGGGTGAACATGCCTACGTAAAGAATTTAGTCTATATCGATCTTCCCCAGTTTAAATACGTTTCTCCGCTCCACATCTGATGTCGATTGTGCCCATGGCTTAAGAAACGGTCACGATAATTCCCATGGGGACGATAAGGAATGTTACGATAATGGCATAGATAGGGTGCTGCCCAATGATAGAACAGTAGTGTTTCAGTGGCGGGGCCTTATCAACGGTGTGATAGGCGCCGAAATCTACTTCGGGTAGAAAAACAAAGCGTAATCAAATTGTGTAAGGGGTTGTCCATGGCACATACTTGATATGATAGCATTATGTTATCGTCCCGTTTTTCCCTTCTGGAGTGGCACTCTTGTAAAGGCAGCCGTACTTTTTTATTTCATCGTATCTTATCTTCCATAGGCTTAGAATCGTCCAACATTAGCTATCCAACACTTATCGTTAATAAACGTGAGGGTAAGCAGATCCACGTGAAGCCATCGCGATGCTTCTTTTAACCCATTAGCGGACGGCCAGTGTATTTGTTGCGTGCGGCACCATGTGGCACATCGCAACACAAGGGTAGGTTTTATGTAGGCTTATGCGAACATACAGGGTTAAAACGGGCTAAAGTAAGTATCCTTGGTCTCACATTCAAAAAGAAGAGTATTTTCGTTGACGGAAAATCGTAATCCCCTTTCTGCTCTAAAACTAGGGTGCAAAGAATAATGGAGCGCAGGTTGATCATTGAAAAATGTGGAACAACAACCAGAGCAAGGGATGTGGGCTATATTTAGGGGAAGGGGCGCTCGGGACGAGCTGAACGGCATCTGTAAGCATCATCAAGTATAATTAAGACAACATTTGTGAAATTTATTTGTAGTTTGTCATAAATCAACTCGTCTAGTGTCCTGGAAGCTATGCTATTCCACTTCCGCTAGAGTATATATCGGGTTAATATTAGATTGTATAAACGTAAAACAAAAGTAATAATCGTGCGCAACCATGTGGCGCACGCCGTCCGTTTGCGTATCTTGAACTTGTGCGTGATAGACTGCGAACTCTCACCCTAAACTCTTCCATAAAAACCACACTTGAGTTTAATGTGGGAACCTGGAGAAGGATAGGATACATATAACTGTTTGAACAGCGGATTTTGTTTTTACGAAAGCTTATTTCTGTGTTATTGTTATTACCGTGCCTTACTCGTGCTCAACTATGACCTCTCCAGCTCTATCCTGGAGTCACTGGTTGTGTTTACCTCTGTCTAGACCGTTCCAACTGTTTGCAAATAGTAAACGTTTTTTGCGGCCAGTGATTTATTACGGCTGACGGCTTTTCTAAATCTCTCGAATACTTGACCGATTCAACGTCAGTTGAAAGCTTACGATTTTCTGCTTATTTTGACATGTGAGGCTCAATATTTGCTTCAATATAAAGTACACAAATGAACAAAAGACAGCTTCGCCGGGACTACTCAGTTGAGTTTCTCGACCAACACTTCTTGCAGTGAAATACTTACTTCTGAAACCGGATTGAATGCTTTTATTACATCAAAAGAAGCTTCAGGTTCCGATTCTGAATTTACCATGCACCCGATGTACTCGCGGGAGTACTCGCGTGGAATCTGTATAGTGAAGCAAAGATATAACAGATACAAAAAGAAGAAATTGTAAACTTTCAAATGAGATCGAACGCTTCAAACATAATTAACAAAATAAAGCCATTAGCCTAAAGAAACGATTGCTAAATTTGAATTAATCTGATGATGATTAACAATTATGCCTTCCAGAAGCCAATCGCTTTCGTTCAAGTTTGCTAACGACAAGATCGCTACATCTCAAGCATACAGACTCGCTAAAAGGCTTCTAGATGTAAGTAGAGTGCTTGTTGCGGGGAATTTGAAAAGACTTTCTTGTTATAGGTGCAAAATATAAATGCACAGAAAAGTCAATCACGAGTCTTTCGATAGATGGCAGTCTGATTCTCGAACAAAATTCAGGCACTGCTTGTGATTCTCGAACAAAATTCAGGCACTGCTTGCCTTTCACTGCCCCACTCATCGATAATTGAGCAGGATTTTTATCGATTTTTTTTCTCCTTGACTGCGTACTTGGAAAGGATTACCTCTGGGATCAATCGACCCGTAGGAGACGAATAGCACATTTGTTTGCCGGAAAACGTCCGCCCTCGCGCCACGAGTACCGGCGCCAAAAAATGCCAGAACGATCTACTAGTGTGACAGTGCCACCGTCTATGGCGCGGGATTTCATTTTCCACTGGATGAAGGTCCCATTTACGATCAAATCGTTAGTCAAAGGCAAATCTCGATTAAAATGTTGTACAGTTTTGAGAAATGGCGTAGTAAAACGAAAATACTGCCAAAATTTTAATTCAAATGAAATTAATTAAAGAGCATCGCATTCAGGCAGAGATTACCGAACATAAAAGTGTAGCCGTGTTCTCAGATGGTCAAAGCTCAACATGTGACATACCTGGAACTGGAGATAAGGATGAACGCAGCGTTGCTGACAAGGTAGATTAGGCACCATCTTTCCATGATTTCTAGTCTTTTTTTGTGAACGTTCGGGCTGTAACATGTTCTTGCAATTCTCTTTTTGCAACCCTGCTGGCTAGAAAAAGTATATTTTTGGGACGGTTCTAATATGTTGCTGTAATTCCAAAGGGGTCGGATTATTTTTGCTGTTTACTGGGAGCTTGCGAAAAACAAACAATATACAGGATGGTCAAGAATTATTTAGTGACTCACGGGGTCACCTTGAAGCATTCATTGTAGTAACGTTTTTCCCGCACATTCATATGAATCTATATTATTCATACATATTGTAGATGCGCCAAAATGGCACGAATATTGTTATGGTGCCCACTGGAAAACCCGCTAATAAAACAAATGTGGAAGATATTGTGGAGGATCCCAGCAATGTACTAGACACTAAGCACGGGAAGGACGTTATGGTAAGTTTGCTTGCTAATTATACACTAATAACTCTAAACTTCAACTGCCGTTATTCAGGCAAAACCGAATTCCGACGAGGCCAGGGAAATGGAAGATCGTTTGCTTGATGCGTTAACAAATCCAGTGGAACTCAAGCACACTACAGCTTCTCACGAAGAGACTGCAGAAACCGAAAGCAGTGAACCTCCACAGAACGAGAGGGTCACCGGTTTCGAGAGAACCAGAAACACGGAGGAGCTCGAAAGCAGTGAACCTCCTCAGGACGAAAGGGTCACCGGTTTCGAGAGAACGGTGGACAGTGACCGCGATGTTGTAACTCACATTCGAGGCAAACAGGTGGTCCATCGTACTATCACTGTCAACCCAGAAACCCGGGGAGGAGCCGCGAAAGCAAGTGAAAGCCTTCACGACGAAAGAGGTCACGTGTTTCGAGAGAACCGGTGAAGTGAAAGCGTATGGGTGTAACTCACTATTCGGGAACAGGTGTTCATCGTAATATTCAAGTACAACCAGAAACCGGATGGTAGCCGAAAGCAGTGGACTCACAGACGAAAGGAGCACGCCTTCGACGAGAAACGCAAGAAACACGGAGGAGCTCGAAAGCGAGTGAAACTCCTTCAGACGAAAGCGTCATCCGTTTTCAGAGGGAAAGGTGGATGATAGTAACCCATGTTGTAAACGTCCGACCATTGGAACAAGTGGTCATCCGCTAAGATCACGGTCAACCAACAACCGGAGGAGTTGATAAGTCAGTGAGACGCTCCATACAAGGACGACGAAGGCAGTCACCGTTTCGACAGAGAACGGTGGATAGGTGACCGCGATGTTGTAACTCCAACATTGGGGAAAGGGGTCCATCCGTACATATCACGTCAAGAGTAACCCGCAGAGCCTGACAAGCAGCTGAACCTCCACAGGACGAAAGGTGTCACTGGTTTCAGATGAGGACGATTGAGAGTGATCGCGACTGTTCTGGTAATCCACCAATGGACAGGGCGCCGCTCCGTACATCATCACGTCAACCAACCCGGAGGAGTCCGAAGCCACTGAACCTTCACAGGACGGAAGTGTCACCGAGTTTCGAGAGACGGTGGATAGTGACCCGCGATGTTAACTCCACCTGGAACAGCGTGCGTCCATCCGTATCATATACTCAACCAGAAACCCGGAGGAGCCGAAAGGGAACCTCAACAGGACGATGAAGTATGGTCACGGTTTCGAGAGACACCAGAACACGGAGGAGCCCTGAAAGCAGTGAACCTTCCTCAGACGAAAAGGGTCACCGGTTTCGAGCGAAAACGTTGAGAGTGACCGGCGATGTGTTGTACTCCGACCAATAGGAACAGGCGGCCATCGTACATTCACGTTCAACCAAAACCCGGAGGATAGCCCGAAAGCACTGTGATACGCCTCCTCAAACGAAAGTTACGCGTTCGATGAGAACCAGAAAACACGAGGCAGCCCCGGAAAGCAGTGAACCTTCCTCCAGAACGATAAGGTCACCGGTTTCGTTCGAAGCAACCAGATAGAAACAACGAGGAGCCCGACAAGCCAGTAACCACCTCATGAACAAAGGGTCACCGGTCTCGAGAGGAGCAGAAGCACGGTAGGAGCCCAAAGCACGGAACCTGTCACAGACGAAAATCACGGTTTCGAGAGAACCCGAAACACGATGAGCCCGAAAGCAGGAATGCTCAGCCGAGAAGGTCACCGGTCGAGAGAACGTTGGAGAGGACCGCGGATGTGTTAACTCCACCAATGGAACAGGCGGTCATCTTACATATCACGTCAACCAAAAACCCTGAGGAGCCGAAAGCATGCTGAACTTACAGACGAAAGATGGCCCCGTTTTCGACCGGAGAACTCAGAAACACAGGAGAGCCCGAAGCTATGTATGAACGCCTCAGGACGCAAAGGCGGTCACCGCGTTTCGATGAACGCAGAAACCCGGACGTGAGCCGAAAGCACGTGAACCTCTCAGAACGAAAGGGTCACGGTTTCGACGAACGACAGAAACCCGGGGAGCCCGAAGCAGTGACCTCCTCAGAACAAATGGTCACCGGATTGCGAGAGAACTAGGAACACGCAGGAGCCGCGAAAGCAGTGAACCTCCTCAGGACGAAAGGGTCACGGGTTCAGAGAACGTTGGAGAGTGACCGCGATAGTTTGTACACTCCACCAATGGAAGACAGGCCGGTACATCCGTACATTCACTGTCAAGAACAAAAACCGGGAGGAGCATCCGAAAGCAGTGACCTGTCACACGACGAAAGAGTCCACCGGTTTCGATGGAGAACCGAAACACGGAGAAGCCCAAAGCAGTTGAACTACGCAGGACGAAGGGTCACCGGTTTCGAGAGACATAAAACCCGGCAGGAGCCCGAAACAGTGAACTTTCACAGGACGAAATGAGTCACGGTTTCGACTAGAGAACCAGAAACCGGAGGAGCCGAAAGCAGTGAACCTTCCTCAGCAACGAAAGCGGTCACCGGCTTTCGAGAGAACCAGAAACCCTGAGGAGCCGAACAGCCGGTGAACCTCCTCAGGCGAAAGGGTCACCGTTTCAGAGACCCAGAAACCCGGAGGCAGCCCGAAATGCAGTGAACCCTCAGGACAAAAGGCGTCACCGGGTTCGAGGAACCGTTGGAGATGTGACCGCGATGTTAGTAACTCACCAATGGAAACAAGGCGGTCCATCCTTACATATCAGCGTAAACAAAAACTACGCAGGAGTCCGAAAGCGTGAACCTTCCTCAGGAACGAAGGGTCACCGGTTTCGAGAGAACGTTGGGAGAGTACCCGCGATGTATGTAACTCCACCGAAATGGGGAAGCAGGAGCGGTCCAGCCGTACATGTCTCACAGTCAACAAAACCCGGAGCGAGCCGAAAAGCAGTTGACCCTTCCACACGACGAAAGACAGCACCGCTTCGGAAGAGAGAGAACAGAACATGAGGAGCCCGAAAAGCATCGTGAACCTCCCGAGGACGCATAAGGGTCACCGTTTCGAGAAACCAGAAACCCGGAGAGGAGCCGAAACAGCTGACCTTCACAGGACAAGAGTCACCGGTTCGAGAGAACCAGAAAACCCGGAGGAGCCGAAAGCAGTGACCTCCTCCAGAACGAAAGGGTCACCGAGTTTCGAGAGAACCAGGAACCGGCAGGAGCCCGAAAGCAGTGAACCTCTCAGGAGAAAGAGGTCACCGTTTCGACGAGAACTACGTTGGAGAGTGACCGCGAGGTTGTACATCCACCAGATGTGAAACAGCGCGGTCCATCCCGTACATATCACGTCACAATAACCCGCGAGGCAGCCCGAAAGCAGTGAACCTTCACAGAGAAAGGATTTCACCGCGTTCTCGATAAGAACCAAGAAACACGGGGAGCCCTAGAACAGTAACCTCCTCAGGACGAAAGGGTCACGGTTTCCGAGAGTAACCAGAACACGGAGTGAGACCGAAGAGCACGTTGAACCTCTCAGGACGAAAGGCTCACCGGTGTCGAGGAGAACCGAAAACCCGGAAGGAGCCGAAAGCAGGGAACCTTCACAGGCACGCAAAGATTCACCGGTTTCGATGGGAACCAGAAACCCGGAGGAGCCCGAAGCAAGTGTGAACAACCTCCTTCAGAACGAAAGGCCGTCACCGGTTTCGAGAACCAGAAACCGGAGGAGCCCGAAGCAGTAACCTCCTCAGGACGGAAAGGGTCACCCGGTGTCCGAGAACCAGGGAAACCCGGAGGAAGCCGAAAGAGTGAAACACTCCTCAGACGAGTCACCGGTTTCGTAGAGATGAACCGCAAACCCGGAGGAGCCGAAAGCAGTGAACCTCCTCAGAACGAAAGAGTCACCGGTTTCGAGAGAACCAGAAACCCGAGGAGCCCGAAGCAGTGAACCTTCACAGGACGAAAGAGTCACGTTTCGAGAAGAACAGAGAACACCGGGACCAAAGCACGTGAAACGGCTTTGCAGATAGACAAAGGGTCACGGTTTCGAGAGAACCATGAAACCGGAGGAGCCCGAAAGCAGTAACCTTCCAGGACGAGACACCGTTTCGACGAGAACCAGAAACCCGGAGGAGCCGAAAGCAGTGAACCTCCTTCAGAACGAAAGGGTCAACCGCTTTCGAGAAGAACCAGAAACCGGATGGAGCCGAAGCAGTGAACTTGCAGAACGAAATGTCGTCACCGGTTTCGAGGAGAACCAAGAACCCGAGGAGCCCTCGAGCAGTGAAACTTTCACAGGACGTAAAGAGTCACGGTTTCGAGAGAACCAGAACCCGGGGGAGCCCGAAAGCACGGAACCTCCTCAAACGAAAGGGTCACCGGTTTTCGAGATAACCAGAAACACGAGGAGCCGAAAGCAGTGCGAACCTCTCAGACGATAAGGTTTACCGGTATTCGAGAGAACCAGAAACACGAGGAGCTCGAAACAGTAACTCCTCGAACTAAGGGTCACGTTTCGAGTGAAGACCAGCAAACACGGAGGAGCCAGAAAAGCAGCGTGAACCTCCTCAGACGAATAAAAGGGTCAACACGGTTTTCGAAGAAGAACGTTGCGAGAGGTGACCGCCGATGTTTAACTCACCAATGGCGAAAGGCGCGGTCCATCCGTACATATCACTGTCAACCAGAAAACCGAGGAGCCGAAAGCAGTGTAAGTCTTTCACAGGACGAAAGAGTCACCGGTTTCGAGGAACCAGAAACCAGGCCAGGAAGCCCGAAAGCATGAATCCTCCTCAGACGAAAGGCGTCACCGCGTTCGATCTGAGAACAGAAAACGAGAGCCCGAAAAGCAGTGAACCTTCACAGGACGTAAGCACACGTCACCGGATTTCGAGAGAACCAGAAAACGGAGTAGCCCGAAAGCAGTGAACCTTCACAGGACGACAAGCGTTACCGGCTTCGGACAGAGAACCGAACACGAGGAGCCGAAAGCATGTGAACCTTCACAGGCCGAAAGCCGGTCACCGGTTTCGAGAGCAAACCAGAAAGCCGGAGGAGCCGAAAGCAGTGAACCTCTAGCGACGAAAGAGGTCACGTTTGAGAGTAACGGTGGATAGTGACCGCCGTGTTGTAACTCACCATTGGGAACACGAGTCGTCCATTCCTTACATATTCCCACGTCAACCAAAACCGGAGGAGCCCCAAAGCTAATGGAACTTCAACGGCAGGCGCAGAGTTTGCTGGTTTAGATTTATAACGACAACGGAGGATAATTACCGCGTACGGTAACTCACACTGAGGAACATGGAATCTATCACGTCAAGACCAGATTGCTGTAAGATCAGCTTGAGTTTTTCACACATGCATTTCGGAGTTTCGCAGGGAAATAGAACATCGACAAGGGCTCTCTTTTCTTTATTGTTTTAAGGAGGTTGTCGACCAATTGGGTTACTTAGCATACGTCGACTTTTTTCCATTCTAACTGAATATATGCACGCTACAGTATGACCCTAAACAAGTAGTCGGAAAAGGCCGGGTCATTTTAAACGACGTAGAGCATGGCGCCAGGATGTACGGAGCACAAATCAGCTTAGCATAATGGTGATAAAGTTGCTAAATCTGCCATACGTACGGAAACTGTTTCTAACGAAAAGTCATCTAAATTGATGTCTCATGACCAGCAAGTCATCGCCTCATATAGTTCCCGAAAATTTAAACAGACGCGAAATGCGGCGACATGGCGTCTCCGGGGAACTAGATCACGCCACGATTTATTGAATACCACCCGGTTGCCAGTTGAGGTGTGGGAGACTGTAGAAGAAGACGAGTGCTTATATCGACGGCGTTATTAATCTCGGTCAAAATTGAGTCAACAAGCGAGATCTCACTACTTTCAGGCTGTTGCCTTGCTTTTTTTTTCGTTTGCATCGCCTTACACCTCGATTTCATTCCGACGACGACTAATTTATCGATCATCTGCCGTTGAAATCATTATGTATTCGCACTTAGAGCTTTCCATGTTCTATGATTGAAGCAATCCTTGATAAATTCGAAGAACGACGTTCGTGAAGTTTTTCTCAGTCATAAATCATTTGATAGTGAAAGTATAACGGCCCGCTGTTATTATAGGCGTTAGATAAGACTGCCACAAAGGCCAGAATGAATAAATGCTCTCTCAGACACTTCACAAGAAGGGACCATCCGTGTGATGAGATCATTCAATCGCAGATTAAGAATTGGTAACATGGGCGCTACAAGAATTTAGTCGATACGACTCGTTCTCAGTATTTAATACGTTTTCCCCTCACATCTGATTCGATTGCTGCCAATGCCATTAAGGAAACCAGGTCACGTAATTACCATGGAACGATTAAGAATTGTTACGGAATGAATAGATAGCGGCTGCTCCCCAATGACTAAGAACAGGATAGTTTCAGCCCCTGGGGCAGGGCCTTATCAACGCGTGGATAGGGCGCCGAAATCTACTTCGGTAGCAAAACAAAGCCGTATCAATGTGAAGGGGTTCCATGGCAGCAGACTTGATATGATACCATTATCGTTATCGTCCCGTTTTCATTCTGGGTGCACCTCTTGTCAAGCAGGCGCACCTTTTTATTTCATCGGTATCTTATCCTTGCACTAGGCTTACAATCGTACCACACAATTAGCTATCCCACAACTGATAGGTAAGACGTGAGGGTAGCAGATCCACGTGGAAAGCCATCGCGATCGCTTCCTTTACCCATAAACGGACGGCCAGTTATTTGTTCGGTGCGCCACCATGCGCGCACACCGCCACACACGGTAGGTTCTATGTAGGCTGATGCGAACACAGGTTAAAACGGCAGCTAAAGTAGTTATCCTTCGTCTCATCATTTTCAAGAGAAGAAGAATTTTCTGGTTAACGAAATCGTAATTCGCACTTTCTGCTCTAAAACGTAGAGGTGACAAAGATGAATGGAAGCTGCGGTGAATCATGGAGAAAAGGACCAAACCGTTGGAAACTAAAACCCGAGCAATGTTATGTGGCTATATGATCGTGAGGAGAGAGCGGGTATCCACGAAAGCGCCTCCGTGCAAACCAGCAAGCGGAACCGAAGTGGCCGCACTCCTGTAAGCCAGAGACGATCAAGTAGGCATTAAGACGAGTGTTTGCTGAAATTTATTGTAGGCTTGTCTGAAACCACGCGTTACGTTCGTTCGTAGCTATGCTACTTCCACTTCGCTGAGAGTATATACGGGTATTTAAATTGTTAGAAACGTTAACAAAAACATAAAAAAAATGATAAAACTATAATCGTGCGCACCATGTGAGGCTGCACTGCCGTCCGTTATCGTATCTTTGAACTGGGAACTGCGTCCATGCACTCCAACTCGCACCTAAAACTCTTCCCACACTTGAGTTATTGTGGGAAGCCTTGGAGAAGGATAGAGCAGACATATAAACTGGTTAGCTGTGAAACAGCCCAGGATCTGTTTTTGTCAGAGTTGAGTTTCTGTTGTTATTGGCTATTACAAAGTGACGGCTGTGACTCGGCCTCAACTATGCTCTCGGATCAGAGAATAGACCTTCGCTCCTATGGCCTGGTATCACTGGTTGTGTTTTACCTGTCAGACTCCAAAATTGTTTGAAAAGAGTAACGTTTTTGGTTTAGATTCCTCGAAGCCGAGAAGTCAATCGTATTTTTACTGGACGCTCTCAGAATGACTTGCTATTAAAGATGGGTGAAGAATGTATGGTTTTGACTAATTTTCTCAAGTTCTACTACTCACTGCACAGTACGAATAAGCATAAAAGGCTCGAGCCATGATCAATACCTTTTTCACTCCTGTTTGAATGTAATTGGCGGTCACTAAATGATTGCTTGGGCCCTATACAATATGTTGACAGCCAGACCAAATGTATATCTTAGTTTTTTATACTCCAGTCTAGCACTGCCGATTGCTGACGCGACCTGG